TATATATATATATATATCACGAAGTTGTCTCAGGGCACAAAGACACTGTACACAAAAACCAATCCAGCAGATTGTGTTGAATCGTCACTTCATCACAGTCTCTCATCCTGAGCAGCACGTAGGCAACAGTGGGAAGGAAAAACTCCCTTTTAACAGGAGGAATCTGGTTGAAGAGATAATAAAATATGTGGAAAACAAAGCAGTTCACTATTTTTCACATTGTTATCATATTAAAATAAACCTTTGTTACTGTAATGTAATGAATCATAAAAAGAAACAATTTAAAACAAACTGCCCAAAGATTCAGTCTCAGTCAAAAACCTTTTGTTTTATTGGATAGTGTTTCTGTGCCAAGTTGCAAAGCATTTAGTAAAGACATTTTGTAATTTTGTAATTATCATTTCAATAGAAAGACTAATAAAGCTTTGTTGTCATTTTAGTTTTATATTTGTAAACATATTGTTTCATTTCATTTTAGAGAAAGAATTCATTAAATCTAAAGATAAAGCTGTGAGAAGACTTATAAATACTTATTGCATTAGTTATTTTCTATTTTAAAAATGTTTGTCTACAGTTTATACAGTTTTATATCGTAAATAAGACGACGGACTGCAGGCTCACCTCTTAGAAAGACATAATTAATTTTGCATCAAATTGTTATTTTTTTATTTTTTGTCATTACAGGTTTCAAAGACAGATCCTTCACCTAAGAGGGAAATGCCTACAATGATTTTGTTTAATGTGGTGTTTGCACTGAGGGTAAGAATAACTTTTACATGGTTTATATTTTAAATTGTTGTTATTCGTGCACTTAAAGTACGAGCTTTTGTATAAATATTAACAAACATTACAACTTTGGTAGTATAAATATTTGTGCGTATGTTAGCTGATTGTGGGTGGGACGCTTCAAGTTTGTGTTCTGTTAATCAGTATTCTTTGAATGGGCGCAGTGCTCCATGTGATAACGCCTCACTATCTGTGACAACATGGAAACTGAAGGAGGAGGCGTGTTTTTTATGCCTAATCATGCTGCCCAAAACGGTGCTGCCCCGTTCCTGCCCACGCTGAGTCATCATCTGCTAGTCCCACCAAAGCTCWGATGAAAAGTGCTCTGTCATGTTTTGTGAATAATACATCCAGCAGCTGAAATAGTTGTGCTTAAAATGACTCAAAAAAACTACAGAATTCCTTTATAAACTTTAATGACGTGTTTAAACAGCCACTTTCTTTTAAATGTCATTAATATTATTTCATCTGAAAAAGCCACAAAGGTTCTGCTTGTTCACGCAGACAGTTTGGCTTCACAAAACTTTCTGCTCTTCAYCCCCCGTTTCCCACTTCAGGCAAATGCCGACCCGTCCGTGATCAGCTGCATGCACAACCTGTCTCGGCGCATTGCTATAGCCCTGCAGCACGAGGAGCGCCGCTGCCAGTACCTGACCAGAGAAGCCAAACTCATGTTGGCCGTCCAGGATGAGATCACCACCATGACTGAGAGTGAGACCCCCCCCCCCCCCCCACCCCACGTCTCAATCAAACTGGAACATTTATGATTTTTCATATATTTTTTTTAATATCTTGACAGTTTGCTAACTGTGTGTTATTTTATTTTGAATTATGTTTTAATTGGGAGCTCTCTCTCTCTTGATATCAGCAAACGGAAGCCCCCAGTCCCCATTTAGACAAATCCTTCCCAAATGTAAACTGGCCAGAGACTTGAAGGAGGCTTACGACAGGTCAGTGTTAAACATGTCATCATTTATTTATTTATTACTTTATTCTGACTTTGAACTAGTTAAACTATTCATAAAGCTGATAAAGAGGMTCATTTTTCAGCCTTTGCACGACTGGTGTGGTGCGACTTCATATCAACAACTGGCTGGAGGTAAGCTTCTGTTTACCACATAAGATCCACAGAATTGGTGGTAACTATATTCCCCCTGAGGCACTGGAGCGCAGCTTGAAGGCAATAAGGTATTTTTAATTTTTTTTTAACTTTATTTTTTTTTTTCTCGTTTCTCAAATTATTTTGACTGTGAGTTTAATTGTAGCAACATATTTGCAGGAAAGGAGCATTTTTTTAAAAACTGTTTTATGTGAAATAAAAGAGAAAAACTCTCCACCCTGTAAACCACTTATTAATTACTACTCGTTATTACAGTTATTTATGATGGCATGACCACTTTAATAGAAAGGGACTTATTACCTTTGGTAGTTATAACTGAAGCCCCCCCACCC